CCCCCCCAAATGATTTGCTTGAAAAGCCTAATACAGAGGTCCAAAATCTGATTCAGTTTAAACATGATGTACAGGTCACAGTACTGAATCATAAAGGTAACGATAAGAGAGTAACTGTCTTGGAAACGGGGAAGGTAAAAGAGTTCCCCCATCTATTCTTTTTCTTTTTTCTTTCTTCCTATTTTTTTAATTTTTAAACAAATAGGTTAGGAGGAGAGGGAGGAAAATCCATGGAAATAAACACTTTTTTCACTCCAATATATATATATAAAAAAAAGCAGGGTTCTCAGTGAACACAAAATTCTATAAAACTACCATTGATCTGTGTTGTTTTCTCCCCATTTTTTTTTTCTTTTTAAAAGTTGCTTTAAAAAGGATAAAAAGTGCACAGACACCCTTATAAGGCACAAACAGATCTTCTGTACAAATCATATATCATCGGACTGTTTAAAAAAAATAGCAATACAAGTACTAACAATTAAATTTGTAAGAGGCTACCTTTTCCTGGAAATCTCTTATGAGAGGCCTATTTTGGAAAATTCCTGTTGCTCTTGGATAGGCAGGGCGACACATCCACTGCTCCCACATCCCGCTTGCTGCACGGCTGCACTCCAGACTCTGACTCCTGTCACTCCACTGACTGAGCTGACTCCCTCGCTGGCCCTGCTGGATGCTGTCATTCTGGAAACTGGTCTCGGCTGCTACAGGAAAAATTCAACCTGTGCAATGTGTCCTGAACAGCTCAGACACAGCCTGGGGTGGATTTGGTATTTCTCCTTGCTGGCTTACAAAAAAAAAAAAAAAAAAGCTACACCAAAAAAACCACTCCACCCCAGGTATGCAATTAGCCCCGCTCATCGACCTGAGGTGTCAGCCAAGCAAACAGGCTCTGCTGTGCTCACGTGTGTAGCTGTGTGCAGCCACCGAAAGGGACTGGGCACCCCTGAAACCAGGACAGCAGCCCCAGGGATGGCTGCTGGCGTTTGCTAGCCCAGACCTGATCCAAGCTAACAGCGCTCGCTGTGGATTTGGACAACTTTCCTTGAATTCCTCATCATGCGAAGGCTTACCAATGCAGCCCGTTCACCAGACAGGCGCTAACCCCCCTGGCCTTTCATCCCATGCTCACATACTGTGCCATCATTGTGCTCTTAGTGCTGTGACCACTGACCATAGCCGGACCCTAACCTGCAAAACACAGGACCAGGGAGGTGTCTCCGAAGGCAATGTCTGTGGTCCCAGGGCGGAGGGCAGCCTGGAGGTCTGGGCAAGGCTCCAGCTGCTGGAAAGGTGCCCTCACTGCCTCCTTTTGCAAAGGTTAAGTGAACTCGTGCCGCAGTTGCAGTGCCGGTGGCTCCGCTGAGGGCTGAGCATGCTTGGTGGCGACGCAGCCAGTGGCACAAGTGGAATTTCCAAAAAGGGCTCTGCAAAGCCAGCAGGTTCTTATGCCGATACAGCAGCCTCGCATGCCGATGCAGCAGCCTCTCATTTATACACTTAATTAAAATGTTAATTAGCTCTTCAAGGAAAAAAAAACAGGTTTTCTCCATGCCCTGTGAGCTGGCAGTGGGAGGAGGGTGAGCTGCTCCCCTGGGTGTGCTCTCCCTGATGGCAGAGTGGGGCTGGGATGGGGCTGAGTGACGGTCGGTAACCAAGCGTAGCACCGCCGGCACCGCCAAACCACCACCCAGGCAGCAGCGCCGCGAGAGGTGGCAGTGCACCCACAGCTACCGGCGCCTCGGAGGAGAGTAAATGGCGAGGCAAGGTGACAGACACCAACAGCATCAGGCTGCCCCTCTGTGCCCAGAAGCCCTGAAATGTACAGGGGTTCCTATTCTTTTTTTTTTTTTTTGGACTAAAACGTGGTAATTGCACCTTTCTGAAGAAAGCTGTTCTTACGCACTTGGTGGCACATGGTCACTGAGCTAGAATGACACCAGCCCCTCTCTCAACCTCCCATTTGCATCCTCTCTCTTCCCCTATTTATGAACCTGGACCAGCTGGAAACTGGCCAGGCTCAGGCTGAAGGACTGGACAGGAGCCATGCAAGTGGGCAGAGGATGGAGAATGGAGGGCAGCTTCTGCAGGAAGAGCAGGGAGAAGGACACCAAGCTCCTCACACCAGCCCCAGTGCTGCATGCTCAGATGCTGCCCAGCTCATCCAGGTTGCTGCTGCTTGGAACTGTCTAATATCACAGCTGAAATCCATTTACCTTTTAAGTCCCAACATCTAATAATAGCCCCAGAGCCTTTTTCTTTCCTCCTCCCAAGTAAAGTCAAGTGAGATAGATCCCTGCTCATGCTCATCTCAACAAGTTTTCATCTACTGTTGGGAGCCAGTGTCCGGGCAGCTGGGAGCTGTGCCGGGAAACCTGGAAAGGCAGGAGAAAAAGCAGGTAAAATCAGCACATACACAGTCCCCAGAAAAAAAGGTGAGCCAGCTGGGACTGGGTCAGAAATTAATTTCTCCCCACAGGCTCCAAGAAGTCTCTGTGGTGGGGCGGGAGGAAGGCTGAGCCCTGCTGCGGCGGCTGGCTGCCGGGGAAGGGCTAGGAGAGGCGAGCCAGGCAGGACGGTGTGGACGGCAGCTGCGCCGCCTGCGAAGAGGAGCAGAGCAAAACGCAGGCCTGTGTGCCTGGAGGTGACAAACACCATCACTGCAGAGGTAGCCCCCATGCTTGTTCTAAGCCAGGACTGCAGTGTGCCCATCCAAACGCCCCTCTCATCCACAGGCAGCAATTCATGGCTTCAGCCGCCAGAGATACGGGCAGCGCCTGAACAGCCCAGCGCTGCTGCCCGCTGCTCCATTGCTGCTGCAGCAGTAGGGGTTGGCTGGGGCTCTCAGCGGGCTCATGCTCCTCACTGCTACCCTGTGGTTGCTCCCTGGGGTCTCAGCCTCCCTGGCCAAAAGTCCCTGCTCTGCCACAGAAAGCAAAAGCTGCTTTATCTTAGTCCAGGCCAGCTTCTCTATGTGCCCCAGAAGCCCGTTCAGGGGGGCAAAGCCCAAACAATCTGGCTGTGCTACTATTTTGGCCTTAGCTAGTTCCCCTTACACGGATGAACGTGACAATTCCAGATCAGTTTTGTCCACTTTGAACCCTCCCACTGGGCCTTGTCCTAATTTTGTTCCACCACAGCGCAAGCACCCGGCAGCAGCCCAGAGCTGTTAGGGTTTCACGGTTGGGAAGCCCAGTGTCACCCGGCACTGACCAAGTGGCAACCTCCCCTTCCCAATCCGCACCACAGCGAGCCTCCTCCAGAGGAGGATGAAAAAAAAGAGCCTTTGCACGGGAAATTTCTCATTTGCAGCTGGGTCAGCTCCAGACTGCGATTCCCCGGATTTGCCCATGGGCACACAGCCTGGCCGGCACGGCAGCCGTGCCTTTGGGCCCCACATGATCCTCAGCTCAGTTTTATCCCTGAATTGTGCCCTACCAGTCAAATAAGGAAACACAGATAACGAGCCACTTGATAACGACTGACCAGCACGATAACCCATAAGCAGGGACGGAAAGGCATGGTTACTGCTAGCGGCGTTCCCCCTTCCTACAGCCCGAGCCGGGCGCTAAGGGCGGTATATTTTAATAACATCTTTGATGACCCGTCGGCAGATTGGGCAGCAGGCATTGAGCTGCTTCTTCAGCTTAAGACCGCAGGTGTTGCAGAGGCACATGTGTCCGCAGGTGTAGATCACCGTGTCCACCTCGCTGTCAAAGCAGACGGTGCATTCCCCATTCTTGCTGCTTGATGGCTCTGGAGGGGGGAAGACAGGAGAGATGGGGGGGCTCAGAGGGGAGCTGGGAGCAGTCACTGCAAAAGAGGAGGAATGAGATGATTTAGTCACCAGGGTGGTGCAAACGTGGCACTGTACAACACACACACTCAAGTAAATTTTTAAGGCTCTTCCTTCCTTAGTCATTGCCTGGTCCATTTGGCCAAACAAACCCCAGAGTATTCTAATTGGTGGCACAGGTACAGCTCTGAGCAGGGCCTGCCATCCCTCTTCTACATGGGGGCAAGCACAGCTCACCTGGGCTTCCCCAAGCAGGGCTGTGATTTCGTGCGCCAGTTTCACAGTGTGGGCGTGCAGAGCCCCGCTCTCCCCAAAGGAGCCGCGTTCCACGCAGGGTGCTCCTGCGTCTCACTGGCCGTGCCAGGCAGCTGCAGCACGGCGCAAGGGCAGCACGTGCCGGGGACGGTAGCAGGCAGGGCGCTCAGGGCTGCCTGCCTGAGACCCGAACACCAGCACGTGAGCAGTTATGCAGGCATCCCTCTGGCAGTGGAGCCCTGGCAGCGCAGAGAGCAGTGGTCTGGGTGGTGTAAGACCCCCAGACATGATACCGCACCCCTACTATTGCAGCACTGCTGCTGCAGCAAGGGCAGCCCCACAGAGGCCACCTTCATTAGACAGACTGACAAAGTGGGAAGCAACATGCATCCCTTCTTCAGGCCGTGAACACCTTCCCACTGCTTCGTGTTTTCTTCCAATTATTTCTGTTGGCCTCGCAGGAGATGTAACATCTCCTCCCTAGCCTTCCCCTGCTGCCTTGCACAGCCCCAGCATCGCCTATCGGCCCAGATTCCTCCCGGCATAGCCGGCACAGCTGGATGCTGAGGGCTGGGCTCTCCTTACCGAGCGATGACTCTGAAGCAGATGATGACCTGTTGACGCTGAAGGCCATGTCTGAGTCGCTGTCATACTGCGAGCCGCCCGGGGATCCTGAGGGAGAGACGGTCACTGGGCTGGACTGCACAGTGCCTGCAAACACAGGAGAGAGCTGAGCCCGCCGCGGGGCTGACAGACACCCAAACCCCAGGTACATGCCCCTCAGCCCGGTGAGTCGCTCCCACCCCATGTGCGCAGGGTGCTTTAGGGTAAAGTCCAGCTGCTGCGTTAAGTGCTGCCCCTTAGTAACAATATAGATGTACGATTTGGGATGCGACCTCCAGGGCCTGGACCTCACTATGCTATTGTATAATTTCTGTTCAGTGCTTCAGCAAGGTGAGCACCAGGTTATCTGACAGCCATCATCTGGGGTGTAAAGTCACTTCCCGCAGCCCCAGTCTCTCCAGCAGCAGAGGCCTCAAGCTACCAGTGTCTTACTGTCAGGTCGGGGGCAGCTGGGAAAGGGCATCGCTTTAAATAAGAAAAACCCGCTTTACAAAGCCATCAACATGTGCTTTTCTGACAGAATCCTTAACAAGAGGAAAGGAGAAGCACTGTAACTGATCACCAGCAACAGATCAAAAGTGACATCTGATACCCGAGCTGTGGCAGTGTTTGGGGAGCGATTACTGTCCATCAGCAACACACAGGCTTAAACCAGAGCTGCACTCACAAAAATCGTCGCTCTCACCAAGGCAGGAGTTTAATACCCATTGGCTGGAACAGTGGGTTTATAAAGAATCCCTTTTAAAAACAAACCCTCTGAAAACCAGCTGTCCCCCACCCCAGCCATCCCTGCCTCCCTACCTGCTGCTTGTTTTCTCTCTCAAGTCTCATCCTTTTCTGGGGGACTTATATAGGCTGCATACATCTCTATGACAGCTACCATGTCTCGCTCACTCTTGTTTGCAAACACCTTTGCAAACACAAGATCAGGAGCTGCTTCCTCACATCAGTGACCACCTGCTAAAGGCAACACCGCACATGCAAACCCGTAGCTCCCGTTCTGGCCCAGGAAACGTCACCAGCCAGGTGCTCCCATTATCATTTCTTTTGGCTGCACTTACCCAGTATTTTGAGCTGGTTGATTACACCGTGGATTGTAAAAAACACCCAGAGAGACTGTGAGGTGTCCACACACATTAGCATTCCTCGGCTGGCTCCATTCACCCCGTGGTGCACCTCTCCGTTCGGCAAGACCATGAAACTGAGAATGTCGCCGCTGTTGAGGACCGGGAATGCTCGGTAAACCACCCAGTACTCCTTCCGGTCCAAGAGAAAGTCTGGATCTGCTGGGAGCTCATTTGTCCGTAAAGTACTCGGATCACAGGAAGTGATGCCAAATGAAAGGGCTCCATAGTATGGCAACCCAAGATGTCCTACTTCCACAAAGAGGCTTTCACCGATGTGCAAAGGCCGGTCAGAAAACACCAAAGTCCTATTGCTTTCTTGCCAGTTGGTGCATGCAACCATCCGGTCCTGAGAAAAGGTGATATCAGGTCCACGGGTGGGATGGAATCGCAGGTCTGTGTCCAGGAAGGCTGGGACCCCCTGAGCACGCTGCCGTCGGTTTGGGCAACAGGGGATGATGTGGTTGTCTGTCGCAAGTCCTGGAACCCGACTTAGGTTTAGGTTTGCAATTTTGGCCACCACTTGGTTATTCTCCAGTTCGTTGTTATTGAAATTGGCTGAATCATGGCTGCTCTGTGGAAGGCAAGTGCTGAGACGGGCAGTGCTGAGACGGGCAGTGGTCATGGTCTCTGCAAACATGCTATCTGTGAGATAAGCCCAGTGATAAGGGACATTAGAGTCAAGACACAATCGCCTACTTTTACAAATACAATTGTTATTATTTCAGCCTACAGATTATCTGGATTCTGTTCCTCTGAATGGAAAAACAATGGAAAAATTAGCCAGAGGTCAACCACTAATGAAAGGCTAGTGGTGGAAAGTCTCATGTGGAGCAGGCAGAGAAATGGCTGCATCTTGGCACTAGCTGAGGAAAAACAAGTGTTATGAAGTACCCACGTAATCTGGGAGCTCCTTGCACTGGTGAACTGGGAAAAGCTGTAAACCAGTGTGGTCCTACAGCTTTCTCAGTAGAGGGGACTAATAGCTTTGAGGGTGCTCTGTAAAAGAAGGAAGCGTCTCAGTATCTTGCTGTCCAAAGGTGTTGTGCAAGCCAAATCTGCAACATGGTGATGGGTGAAGGAGCACAAGCATGAACAGATATTCCTTTCATGCTCCTTGTCATTGCCTTACAGCAGTAAGGTGTCTGGGTACAGGTGTGTCCGAGAGAGGTCATTTTACAAGATTTCAAGCCTCGTATCTCAGGGGTGTTCACACCACTGCAGAGATTTTGAATTGAGGGCTTGTCACAAAAGCTACTTGCTGCAGGTTTTTAGAGTTAGAGAGTTATTTTCCCCTTTTACAGCAAAGGGAAAGTCAGGATGCTGACTCCTATTTCACTCCCTAGATTTTCACCTGGGCCATGCCAGGCTGGGGGGGGGATTAAAGGTGTGGGGAGGTTCGGGAGTGCCCTTCCTTCTGCCTCCAGCACTGCCTGGGGTGGCTTGGACCCTTCACGCCAAAGATAAGGCATTAACCAGCTGAGCAAAGGCGAAGCATATGGATGTTAAGAGTGTGTGTGAATGAAGCAAACTCCCGGTCTTCCCAAAGGTGCAGAGGGGAGAAGCAACCCAGCACCAACACTGCCTGCTCCTTGGAGAAAAAAATCACCAGGCTTTTACCAAAGAAGGTAAAACACCCAAATCCATCCAGCAGCTGCAAAGCAGAGGCTGCCTTCACTCAGAAGCCCATGCAGGAGAGGCCACCAGTGCAGGCTGATGGCTGGACCAGCTGCTTCTAGCAAGCATGGGGTATCTGGCAAAAAATGCTGCCACAGAGAAGTAAGACACATCCAAGCTTCATGATGCTGAAAGATGCATTTTGTGCATCTGTATTTGGGCTACATTTCACAGCTTTCTCAACTTGCAAAATTTTGGGAGGAGAAGTCAGAGAGACAAACATGTCCGCTATGACACCACATCTGTAGCAAAGAGGCTGGGTCCCCTGGTGCCCCAGATGGTTGAGCATCGCCCTGATTCCTGGGGTACCTTGTGGGGCTTGGTACTTTGATCAAAAAAAAAAAAAAAATCAGAGTGCAAGTGCCCTCAAGCCGAGTCTTTCACTCTGCACACTTGGATGCCATGGGCAGGCCTGAGGAGTCGGGGGCAGAAATAAACTGTATTTTATTTTTCTAACTATAATCTAATGAGGAAGAAGGACTGCTCTGGTGAAGCAACTGCACTGGCCAATACAGCAAATGCTCCTTCACCTCTGTGATGAGCACCAGAGGCTGGAGTGCGTCGCAATTGCAATTATAGGATAAGCTACTGGTAAGGTTTAATTACACATTTGAGGCAGAGCAGGCAGGGCAAAGTGTTGTTTATGTGTAGCCTTCTCAGCTGTAAAATAATTGGTACCATTCAGAAGAATATGTGATGGAGCTGCCTGCCCACTGGACTCACCATTTCACACCTTATCACTGGTGTCTGTTCAGTGTGAGGATGGAGGCACCATCCCCTCGAGCAGGTGCAGCTTAGCTTGGCTGTTAAAACTAAATCAGCTCCTAGGAGCCTCCAGGAAAGGGCAACACTCTTGTATTTTAAAAGGATTCCCTGTGGTGTAGACCAGTTCAAAACACTCCATCTTACACTGAATTCATTTGAAATTTCAATGCCGTAAAAGTGACAAAAGGGAATCCATTCCATGGCAATCGGCTCAGCTTACTAACGGGAACAAATTCATCCCCTCTTGCAGCCCTCCCCAAGGATGATGCTTGTAAATCAGCCAGGCACCACCTGAACGCAGCGATCTGCTTAGGGATGAGGGGAGATATGGCATGCGGTGGCAAGCATCCCAAATCACACAGGAGCTCGCACTACATTTTCTCACCACTCTTCAGCTGGCAGGCTGCATCCTGCGCTGCAGCCGACATACAGTGATGCCCATTTATAAGGGAAGGGTAACTGGGGTTACATCTGCAAGCACAGCTTGTTAAACTGCCAGTCTAGGTGGGGACCAAGGCCAGGAGCCGAGAGAGGGGCTGGGGAAGGGTGCCAGGAAATTTTTGGGAATGGGTCGTAGTTTTCCAGTGGACTGGCAGTAACTGATAGCTGGGAAAGAAGAGGGGAAGCCAGAGCTGGTCACCTTTGTCTCCTCAGTCCCTGGGATCTTGCACCATGTTTTTCCACGCCATAGCAACACATCTAGCTCAGAAAAAGCTGGGTAAAGTTACATGTAAAGGTTTCCTTTAATTTCCTACATGTAAAGCCCTTCATATGGCTGCTATAATGCACAGCCTTAGGACTTTCCATCACTGACATCTCTGAAATGTATCGCTTTCTGGATCCCTACTGCTGGAAGAAGAAAAATGGTTAATCTGAAGTACAAAATCAACAGTAAATTAGTTTTCTTAAGTATCTCATAGAAATGGTCAACCAGATAAGATCACGCACCTTTTCTCCATGATCGTGCCTTTGTGGAAAGAGCAACCAGCAGAGCAAGCCATGGGCCAAAATACACACTTACCTAATATTTGCACTTCATGCGTAATTCCATAGACGTCTATCAGTGCCCAGAGAGGACCGGAAACTTTAATACCACAGTGAAACAATATTGGCTCCTCATCATTAATACTGTAGAAGACTCTCCCATGACGGTCAACCCAGAAGGCCAAGATATTGTCTCTCACAGCAAACCTCTCTGGCAAAGCTTTGGCCCAGTATCCAGGTCGGGTCACTAGGTCCGGACAGGCGTACTTTGGTATCTCGTCAGAGCTCATCTGCGATGGGTCGTGAATGGTGAAGCCAAAGCGCAGGGCCCCGCTCCAACCATGGTGCACGGCCACCAGCTTCAGCCTGACTTTCTCGTAGAGGTGGATGGGCCGGTTGGTGAAGGTGACCCCGTTGCAGAAACTGTTCCTCCGTGTGGCCTTGCGGGAGTGAGCGTCCAGACGCACGTTCTTGCCTTTGGCTTGGGAGTGGAAACGCGGCGGCTCCGTGATAGCGAGGACCGAGCGTCGCTCATGGCTGCTGTTGGGCAAACTGTAATAGGGGCGGCTGGAGACGGAGCGGGTCTGGTGGCTTGTGTCTGCGAAAGGAGAAACCAGCAGCTCCGTCAGCAATGCTTGACCTGAGCCATGTGTTAGCGCAGCCCGGGCAACTGCAACTGGCTTGCCACATGTGCCCTGCATTACTCGCTGGGAACCGCGCTATTTAATCTTAAAATGCTGTGCTTGGCCACAATCTGCTCTTTGTCGCACCAATTGGGCCCTCAGCTTTATACAAATAAAAGGCAAATGTGCCCTTGGGGCAAAGGTTACGCAGCTTCCCTTCTACGCCCTGCAAAGCTGGATGAAAACGAACATCCTTTTGTTCCCATCAGATGCATCCTACTGCACTCGGAAAGGCCTAACACTTGTGACTGTGGCCCCGAGTTTCCTATTTACAAGTCACGTGCTGTTAAATCACCGGCTGGTGGCCAGAGTCACACCATCTCTGGGAGCTGTGACTGCTAAGATCAGAGGTGCTCAAGATGGAAGTGGATGTAGGATACCGATTTTCTGGGGACACACAGCCATTGGTTTCTCTGTCCCTTAATTTTGCAACGATGAACAGGAGCTTTTGAACAACACAAATAAACCAAGACATCTAGCAGCTGGGGCACTACCTCTGCATCACCAGACTGTTCTTCCAAAACTTTCAACCCAGCCCCTGGTTCAGATACCAGATGCAACTGGCACATTAAGGAACATTTCATCCCACAAAGCCTCGCCTTTACACAGAACCTCCCATTTGAGCTCAAAGCACTTTATAAATGATGATTGTTTTCAGCTTCACAGCACCACAGATGGCACAGAAATCCTGCCATCCTCATTTTACAGATGGGATAAGGAGAATTTATGGGTAAGATCTTGCAGCATTTAAAGTCAATAGCAATTTCAAGACCAATTTCAAGAAACGCAGATTTGAGGCCTAAAGTGAAGTTCACACAAGCGTGAAGCAGAAATGAGAAAAGCCCAACTTTTAATCTTAAGCCTTAGCTGTAAGTTCCCTGAGGTGGAGACAATCTCTTTTGCATATCCCTGAACACATGGGGTTCTGCTCCGGGATCAGGGGTCCCACGACCACCACCACCGTGTTACAGACACTTTGATCTCCCCATTTCCCACCCACCCCACCTCTCCTCCTCCTTGCACCTGGCTTTGTAGATTTTTAAAGCAAAAATGGAAGGCGTCTTGGGTGCTCAAAGTCATCCTGTTAAATATAAAACTGATCATATGCACACATTTATTTTGAAATTTTGCCATGTTTGTAGCTTTAGAAGCCGCCTGCCTAGCCCTTCCTTCAAGCTGCTTCCTCCCTGTGTGTAACCCCTGGCTTTGCTTCGTGACAAGGGAAGGATTTTCTGACGCTCTCCTCTCTTGGAGAGAAACACCAGAAGACGCTGGGAGCTGAGCTAGGAAAGCTGGCAGGAGAGCTGCAGCTGTGACACCTTTTTTGCAAGCAAAACCGTACCAGGTAGGGCAGCGAGAGCCTGGGACTTGCATTCATGTCTGAACTAAGAGAGGCTCTAAGCAACTGCTGCCTTTGCAAATGCAGGAGAAGGCAGGGGGAGTCACAGGCAAGCTCTGAACACAGGATTAGCCCTTGACATCAGGCATCTGCAACAGGAGTCAGAGAGCTACAAAGGCAAAAAGCTCCTCTTTGCATCAAGAAAAAAAGGTCAGTCCTAAATTACGATAGGCAAATGCAGTGGCTAAATAAAAGGTCTTTTGTATCTCTTCATTGGTACTGCACGTGACAGTCGCTGCATAGCACAAGGTAATGGTTAATCCTGTCGTGCACTAGTGTAAATAAATACATCCTTGCCCTTACACCAGTGGGGCATTTTCCATTTCCATGCCAGGGCCACGAAGGCAGAGTCCTGGGGGAGACAGGGAGGAGAGAAGCCCCCCCCAGGTATTAAATCCCCTCCGGGCAGTCCCCCTGTCCAGCACAGCCCCTCCCCTCGCAGCAATGCTGGGGACCAGGCTTCCCCGGGGTTTCCCAGTGCAGGAGGGGGTCCCCTGGGTCTGCAGGGTCAGCCCTGGCCATGCTTGCAAGAGGTGTGGGTATTTCTCTTGGGTATTCCCAGGAGAAATCTCATTTTTTCCCTTCCGAAGAGCTAAAATGCAGAAGATGGCTGCTGTCAGCACAGACCCACCCGCGGCTCACGTGGGTGCTGCTCCATGTGTCTGCCTGCAAATGTTCCTGACAAATGATGCTGCTGCACAGGAAATACGGTTTGGGGTTTCCTTAGCAGAGAGAGGCATGGTGGCATGAACCCAGCCAGCACGTAGTGCTGGGCAAGTGACCCCGAGCAGCGACAGGTGAATCCTCTCCCAGCCACGCTTTCCCACACTGGCTCCCCCTTTTTCATCTGGATTCACAGAGCCTTTGTGCCATTCAGCTGGGATGGGGGTTAAGTAAAACCACCGATGGGTGCTGCCTGAGGGGCTCCTGCAGGACGTGGTGGGCTCAGTGCTGCTCTTTCACATCACACCGCACCTTGCTGGGCACCAGCCTCCCCGTGTAGAGAAATCCTCGGTTTATAATCCATTGAGCTGCATTTTTTTCTATAATGGCTAAAAATAACTCCCCTGTGAAAGCAAGTGCCCTGGCCTCAATGTCCTTGTGTTGGCCAGGAGGAGGAAGGAGGGAAGAGAGCGTTTGTTCCCCTGTCCTCTCTGCTAGCACAAGAATCCCCTGCTTTCCATCCCTGTGCAGCACCAGCCTTCCTCCCACATCGACCTGCCCGAGAAAAGACACGCAAAAAGACGAAGCGCAGCAGGAGGCGATGCCCTCCAGCACAGCTCCCGGGCAGGTACTTCTCATGCCGCTTTTGGAAAGCATGGAGGACCGAGGCGGGAGTGACAGCGACAGCAGCACGACGGACGGAAGAGCAATGACATGGGCACCCACTTCAAACGCAGCTTTGGGTCCACCCTGCCAGAGAGGAACTGGGGGAGAGGGTTTGGCTTTTTTTTGTTTTTTTAAAAACAGGAAAGCATATTGTGGCTAAACAATAGGAAAGTCTCTAGAAGGAAATGAATGGATAATTTATTTATAATGCTGTTCCCCCTCGCATGAACACCTGCTGGCTGCCACCAGGAATAAAGCCTGACATAACCCAAGGCAGGGGAGGCAGAGCTTTCCCACTGAAACACGCCTGAAGCTGGGCTTGGGCATGTGCTTTACTCATTATGTACTGAAGAGGACTAGGCAAGCTCAACAGGATGTTTGTGCCTTTGAATTGCCCTAATTTGCAGCTCAGCTTCCATAGCTTGGATCACATTTCAGTCCCTCTGCTGTTTCTCCAAGCCCTCTCCTCTCCTGTCTGTGCTTTCCCACCCAAAAGCCCGTCAGTGGGATAAGTAACATCCAAGCTTGTGGCAGAAACGCCGCCCTACCCAAGGGTGCCTGATGCCGTGACAGGCAGCTAAGAGCTATGCCAACTCTTTTTTTCAGCTATGAGATTCCTACAATGCTTTGAGCAAGTAATTTCTTCTCTTTATGCCTCACTTCCCTGTCTAACAGAGAGTAATAGTATTCCTCCACCTCGCAGGAAGCTAAAAGGATTAAAAAAATGTAAGGTTCTCAAATACTTCAATCCCTGAGTCCTGTAAGCATGTCAGTGGGCTGGCTAGATCATCAAATGGGACACAAACCCACTCAGTCCCCCTGGGTGATGTTTTGAGGTCCCATTCAGCATTTTGCTGCTTCTCATTCTGGAGTTTTCCATTTTTCATCCCTACTCTCGCCAACTGCAAACATGATGCTCACAGCATGAGTCCCTCAAATGCACAAGCGGGGCTTCAGCAAACATGAAGTAAGCCAGGAAAATGGAAGAAAAAGCTGAACTGAAGGATTAAGAATGGTGTAGGGCTCCTCACTGAAACCTGCAAAAGAAACCCTGGCTGGAAGGCAGCATTTCCATCCACATGGGCTGCACTGAAATAGATTTGGGTTATGGGGACCCATGCTCTCAACTGCAAGTAGCTATCGCACATCTGAAACTTCACCTCCTTTCCAAAAGGCCAGCACATTTATTTCTTAGGTTATGCTGACCTTTGGAGAGGTATTTTAACAAACATGCACTTTGCATTTCAAAAAGGTACGGCAGGCAGACCCTGGACAAATTCCACATATTTATCATGGTTCCAGTTCTAAAAATAAACATTTTTTTTCACCCATTTGTTCACAGCACCGGGTTTGCTGGGGCACTGTAATCCCACTGACAGCAGCAGACAAAATTCAGAACAAGAGCTCTCTCCAAGGCTGCTGCTCTCCGGGACGCAGGGCAGAGGAGGCTGCTTAGCTGGGGAGTTGACCTTAAGCTAGATTCATCCTGTCTTCACTTGCCCTGACAAGCCAGGCAGGAATAATACCACAGAAAGCCCTAAAATGAGGGAGAAGAGAATAACGTTCAAGGAGACCAGAGCTACAGCAGAGAGCTACGATGAGGGCAGCCTGAGAGCTGGAGGAGGAGGAGGGCACTGCCTTCCTGATGCGCCATGGGTAAATTCACGGTCTGCATTAACTCTACAACCACTGCATCAAAAGACATTCCCTGGCTCCCACATCCCTTTCCTGAGACCCCCTCCAAGTAAATCCATGACAAAAGACGTGCGGGATCACAAGGCAAGCAAATTACGGGGCAGCCAGGTTCCAAACAGGGATGCACACTTGATAAAGCAAGGATGTCAAGGGAACAGAAATTACTGGGACCACTACCCTGTGGGCGAACAGCTCATAGGAGATACAGCTCATCAGCATGCAGCTGGAGTGTGGTCTCCCTGTGTTGCTCAGGGAAAAGGCTGAAAGGTAGCAGCATGCAGCCTGAAATCTATCTATTAACGTTCACAGCACAGGCGAAAGGGAATCCACCTAACAAGCCCGCATCTTATCTTTATGGCCGCTGCTTTATCAGTAACATTAGAACTTTTTCCTATTACAGTAGATAGTTAGGTCGCTGCTGCTGCAACAACCCTGTTGAACATTAAACAAAGCGTCTGGAGAGAGGGGGCAGGTGGCTTTTGCTTTGAAACA